GAAGACAGACCTCTGATGGTCCTAAAACTGGTCTGAGTAAAGACGACAGAGGCAGTTGTTTAATTAAAGATCATGACGAGTGAAGGATGAGCTGGTTCTGATGGAAACAGCACACAAGCTTTCCTAAAGTTGACGGTGTTGACCTTTAATTTGCTCAGAGCTCAACAGTCGGAGGTGTTTTTCTTTGAGAACACCTTCTGAACGTTGACCAACCACTCAGAAGGACCAGCCTTATCTCTCTGGTGGTTTTCTAACTTCTTGTTTTTCTCTGGAGTTGTGAGACTTCCTGTTTGTGGCATCAGTTTTACATTTGTGTTCTTGTCTCGTCTGCTTGAAGCTCCTCTGGTGTCAGTCCTCATTGTGTTTTGTTTCTGGATGTTTTGCCGTCAGATTCTCTCGTTAGTCTGATTTCTGTTTCTGACAGGAATGTTTTCTGATCATTTTTTTAAGTTGTTTTGAATTGGATCAAATAATATTTTGGTCATGATGGAATGATTTGTGACTAAAGGGTAGCAGCAAGTGGAGGACAGAGTGAGAGACCTGAAGAGGGAACAGCTGCAAGAAGAAGAACAACAAGAAGGAAGAAGAAGAAGAAGAAGGAAGAAGGAGAAAGTAGAACATTCAGCAGATTTCCGCAGATTTCCACAGTTGTTGACCATAATTCATTGATCATTTAGCTGTTGTTCAGTAGTCGTTCAGCAGATTTCAGCAATCGTTCGGCCAATTTCACCAGTATTCAGCAGTTTTTCAGCAGATTTCATCAGTTGTATAGCAGATTTCAACAGTCTTTTCAGATTTCAACAGTAGTGTATCAGATTTCCACAGTTGTTGAGCATATTTCATTGGACATTCAGCAGTCGTTCAGCAGATTTCAGTGATTGTTCAGTCGATTTTAATGATCATTCAGCAGATTTAAGCGGTCATTCTGCAGTCATAAAGAAGTCGTTCAGAAGATTTCAATGGTCATTCAACAGATTTTAGCAGTTATTCAGTAGATTTTAGCAGTTGTTCAGCAGATACTAACAACTGGTCAGCTGTTCTGCAGATTTCAGCAGTCGATGAGTAGATTTCAGCAGTTGGTAAACAGATAATAGTAGCTAATCAATCAACTGTTGTTCATCAGATTTCAGCAGTTGTTCAGCAGATCTTTGCAGCTGTTCAGCAGTCGTTCAACCAATATTAGCAGCTGTTCAGCTATCATTCAACATATTTCTGAAGTCACTCTGCAGATATCAGCAGTCGAAAAGCAGATATTAGCAGCTGTTCAGCTGTTGTTCAGCAGATTTCAGTAGCCATTCAGCAGATAATAGAAGGTGTTCAGCTGTTGAACCAATTTTAGCTGTCATTCAGTAGATTTTAGCAGTTGTTCAGCAAATATTAACAGCTGGTCAGCTGTTATGCAGATTTCAGCAGTCAATGAGCAGATTTCAGCAGTTGTTAAGTAGACATTATCAGCTAATTTCAGCAGCTGTTCAGCAGATCTTTGCAGCTGTTCAGCAGTCGTTCAACCAATATTAGCAGCTGTTCAGCCATTGTTCAGCAGATTTCAGCAGTCGATAAGCAGATATTAACCACTGTTCAGCTGTCGGTCTTGTGGTGGCAAAACAAGCCCAGACCATCAACCCTCCACCTCTGTACTGAAAGCTGGGATGAGTTGTTTGCTGCAGTGCATTCTGGGTAAACATTTGTCCTTTGGTCAGGTTTTGTCCTAGAACTCTTGCGGTTCCTTTTGCAAACCAAAACTGAGCTGCCATGTTAGAGGGGACACCATGACCTTTGACCTTTGAACTGCTGACTGAGGCCTGTGGAGTCTGAGATGGAACCCTTTTTTCTGAGCACTGCACAGTCTGACCTTTGGGGTGAATCTTCTGTGGAGCTGTCTTAAATGTTTTCCTCCTGTGAATAATCTTTATTTCTGTAGAACGATGGACTCCAGGGGGTGACATCACACAGTCCTACTCCAGGAGCACATCTGGATTCTCCTCCTGGATTCTGACTGACGTAAACAGGAACCTCTGTGTCTTACAGGTCCAGCTCCACCATGTCGTCCTCCTCCAACCTCAGCTCAGGAGGAGTCGTGGAGGAGAAACCGTGTATCGTCAACAACCACATGGGCCCTTTCATCGTGCTCTACAGCCTCATCCTCATTGTGGGTCTGCCTGGAAACCTGCTGTCGGTTTGGGCCTTCATCCAGAGCTGCAGAACCCGGGTAGAACAGCCGTTCACACCTGAGCTGATCTTCTCCGAGCTCTCAGACTAATGTTTGGTTGTGTCTCAGCAGCAGCAGCAGAGCACCAGCGTCTACCTGCTCAACCTGCTGATGGCCGACATCTTGCTGCTCCTCGCTCTGCCCTTCAAGGTTCTGAAGGACCTCGGCGTGGCGTCGTGGGCACTTATGGTGTTCCACTGCCAGGTCAGTGCTGTCACCATCTACATCAGCCTCTACGCTTCCATCGCCTTCCTCACCTTCATCATCATCGATCGCTGCCTGCAGGTAGGAGTCCAGAGACAGAACATGTCGGTGGTTCTGTTTTGGTGAAGGGCTGAGAGTCTCATGGTTCTGTTCTGTTGCAGGACCATCCCACAGCACGCTCCCTGCGGCTGCAGGAGCGGGGCTTCGCCTGGCTGCTGTCGGTGGTGGTCTGGATCATGCTGCTGCTCATCATGGTGCCCAACATGGCTTTGCCCACGAAGCCGGTCCAGGTACAGTACCACAGCTGTCGGACCACCCAACACCGCTGCCAGCTCAGACGGGTTCTGTTTAAAGCTGGTTGTGTTAAAGTTGAATGGACTGAGTCCAGTTCTCCTCCTGGTTCAGCTCCACACTTTAACGACTCTTTAACGATTCAAGAACAGGAAACGGTTTCAGGTTTTCAGAAGAACCTGGTGGTTCTGTCTGAACACCAGATCTCAGGAGCCCATCAGACTTCATCATCTAAGTCTCCTCTTCATGATGCTCCAGTATTTCTTCAGATCTGGACCTCCTGCAGTTCACCTCTCCACCTTATTCCTAGCCCCCATGGTGCTTTGTGTGAATTACGGGTGCGACCAGAACCGGCGTTTGTTTCAGTGCGAACAGCGCGAGCTCATGTAGTTTCTCAGAGCATTGTGGATTTAACTTAAACATGTAGGAACACCACCTGTCAGAGCTCAGACAAGACAATATGACCATAGCGCTGCCTGCTGAGGACGAGGGATGGAGGATGAGCTGAAGAAGTGGCTGCAGATTACTTCTACTAGCATATTTAGCTACTTCACTGACTCGGTTCTTCAGACGGTGAAGATGAACAACCTGAAAAGCTCTGAGGTGTATTAGTATCTACAGTAATAAGGTCGGCAATGGCGGTGGTGTTTAGTTAAAGGAGGGGGGGGCACAATCTTATTTAAAGCAGACGCAGAGCCCAGCTAAAGCCTTAAAGTCCTCCATCACTGAGCTTGGGTTCATTGCAGAGAAAATCATAAAACTGAAGATGAACAAATACTATAAAGCTGTGACCTCCATACACTTGAAATCATGCCTGATGTTCTCCTCACACTGTTTTCAATCCTTCTGAGGATCCAGCGTCTCTTCTCCGGTGGTTTATTGTAGTCCAGACACAAAGTAGGATGCAGGTTTTCCTCCGTCGGCCGTTTGTCATCAAAGTGAAATGAGCTCACATACAACGTGTTGGGTGGTCTCTTCACGTTCACATTTTTTCAGCCACATTCTTCTTAATTCCTCATCTGTAGGTAGACGATGGAAACTTTACCGCCTTTCACAGGAACACGCTTTTTTGTGTGGGTCCGTGTTCAAAACGTTGTTGTTGTAGCCACGGGTTAAGTTTGGTCTGATTGTTCTGCAGCCGTGAACACAACAGGTACCTGAACGCAGCACGGCTATTTTAGCAAACTTTGTGGTTGTTAAATAATTGTAAACAAACTAAAAACAGTGTTTTGTCTGTAAACTGAATGCAAATTATTTTCAAATAAACCGGTCCGTGCTCACCATGGTTAACCAATGCTAACTGCTACTTCCTGTCTGACAGGAAGTTGTACTCATAATCATTTATATAGTCGAGCTCCCAGGAATAAGGTGGATAGGTCCAGGTGTTCAGTGGACTACTCCATCAGCCCCACCTTCCATTCCATCATTAGTCATTAAACTGTCATAGACCTCCTCCATAGACCAGATCCTTTCTGTCTCCATCGTCTGTAACTGTGCTTCTGCTGGTCTTTCAGGTCCAGAGGTACCTCAGCTGCTCCTCGTTGAAGGAAAACATCAGCCTCCACTGGCACACTCTGACCGTCTTCCTCTGCACGGCGTTGTTCCTCAACGCCTCCACCGCCGTGCTTGTCTCCAGCGGCCTGGCTCTGAAGAGACTTCTGCGCAGTCGCAGCGACCCTAAACTCTGGACGGACAACCGGCAGATGCTGCAGAGCGTGGCGGCCGTAGCTTTGGCCTACACGCTCAGCTTCGTTCCCTACCATGCGGTGCGGACGCCGTACACGCTGGCTCAGACCAAAGTCATCACGGACTGTCAGACCAAGAAGCGTCTGTTCCTGGGAAAAGAGTCGACGCTGCTGCTGAGCGTGCTCCACGTCTGCTTCGACCCGCTGCTCTTCTTTTACCTGAACGCTTCGTTTAGAGGAGTGGTCAGGAAGGTCCTGCGCTGCAGCAGGAACCAGGCCGCTGGCGGTGCAGAGGAGAAGTTTGCAGAGGAAATCCTGCTGCGTGGAAGCGCTGAACAGCAGGATGCTGCGGCCTCACCACAAACCTCTGAGGGATAAAAACACAGCCAGGGTTTGATTAGCCTAGCTTAGCACAAAGACTGAAGAAACTGCTAGCATCAAAACATATCTGAAAAACTACAAATATGGACGAGAGATGGTTCATATTCACAGAACCGATGGCTCTTATGCAAAATTTTTCAGTCAGGTCATCTGGACAGTTTCTTTTTTTTTGTGCTGAAACGTTTCGCCTTCGATCCAGAAGGCTTCATCAGTCAAGGAAACACACAACA